ATGGTTTTCTTTGCATGCTCTGTTTTATCTTGGGATTTCAGTCCCTCGGCCTACCATTTGCATGTGGGAAATATTTACGGGTTTGTGGTGATTTTGGATGTGGTTGGTTGATTGATGCTTAATTGGATTGGATTTGGTGTTTGTTTCCCGGGGGCCTAGTCCACTGTCCAACTCACTCGATTTGTGGGCCTTGGTGACTTTGGTTGTGTGCTTTTCGTGTGATGGGTATGTTTTTTCTCCGGGAGTCTAGTCTACTGTCCATATCTTCCGATATGAGGGCTCCCGGTGTGAACTTGACTAACATTGACCCTGTTTGCTCGTGCCCCATTTTGTTCGTTCTTGTGCTTTGCAGGGTCATGGAACACTACCTAGAGCAGTTGAGCATCACCCAGCGCCATGCACTGCGGACTATCCGCACTCGCACCATCCCCGAGCACCTGCACCTCGATTTTGAGGTGTTCGATGACCTTCACTCCAGGCCACAGATGGAGGCCGCTGTGCAGGCTTATGGTTGGCGGCGCCTGCTCTGTCTCGCCGAGTCGACCTATCAGGAGCTCGTCTGGGAGTTCTATGCCTCCTTCCGCCACAACCAGAGGGGGAATGCCGACCATAGTAACGCCGTTCAGTTCACACTTGGCGGGGTCGAGCACTCCATCAGTTACTGGGAGCTCGCCAAAGCACTTCGGGTGAACTCCCCCCACGCCAGCGACGGGGTCCTTCGCTTGGACATCACCGATCCCACAGATTTTCCATACCAGGCATACTTCCGGCGGATCTGTCATCCCGACTACGTGGACGTGGAGTACGTCGCCAGCCAGACGAGAGGCTCTCTCCTCAGGCCTGAGTGGCGCATCCTCAACCACCTGCTCACTAGTTCCTACACCCCCAACCGGGGCTCGGCCAACCGGGTCACCCTCCGGACCCTGTTTTTCATGGAGGCGATGGGTCGCTCTGAGGACACCATCCAGCTGGGCTCGGTGGTCGCCCGGACATTCGCGAAAGCTGCTGCCAAACAAGATCGCGCCCTTGTTTGTGGCCCGGTCATCACGGCTCTGGCCCGCTACTACGGGGTCGACATCACTGGGATGACCCTGGTCCACGGGCCCACTCCACTCAGCGAGAACAGCCTCCGCGCTCAGCACTTGGTGGCCCGCCAAGGGCGTGTTCACTGGATCGCGGGTTTTCCCCAGCCACCTGAGCCCGCCGCGGGAGACCAGCCAGAGTCCAGCGCTGCTGGATCAGGCCGGGTTCCTCGCCGTGCTACTCCTCGTGCTCAGGCTCCCACAAGCCCCGCCGCTGCCCCCCGGTCTCCTGCCCCCAGGTCTCCTCCACCCGTGGTGGTGCCCATCTCCGATCAGTTGGCGGCTATCGCTCAGGAGAACGAGCGCATCCTGGGCGGCCAGGAACGCATCCACACCCGCCTGGATCGCGAGCGGGACCGCGGTCATCGTCTGATGTCCGGCGAGCACTACATCATGTCATACCTGGGCATGGACCCGAGCGCAGTTCACTATCCTTTCGTCCAGTCCCCGAGGTATGAGGACCAGTACCCACCACCTGCCGGCGATGGTGGCGATGACTTCTAGTGGAGAGAGTACCTGGCTCTGACCGTGATTTCTGTTCCAGACTGAGACTCCATGTTTTTGTTGTTTCATTTGGATTTGTTTTTTTTATTTTGGATTGTAGACTCGGAACTTCGGTTCTATCACCCAGTGTGTCTCTTGTGTGACTTTAGCTTTGTGCCTCGGACTGGGTCCCCTTCCCGTCCTCTGCTATTGTCTGGTCTGCCTCTCGATCTCCGTTCCTGATTTCACGGTAACATCGTTCCCCTTCCCTCTGCTCCATTGAGGACATTGTCGCATTTAAGTGTGGGGGGGTTCTTTGTATTAATTGGAACGGGTGTATGGGTGCTTGGAGCCTAGTCCACTGTCCAAATCTTGAGATTTGAGGGCTCCAAGCACTGCTGTTTGCTTGATATTTGATCGTATTGGCACTGTGGAGGTGATTAGAGAATTGAATGACTTTTGACTCGATGCATGACAACTTGATTGTGACTAAGATAGCCTATTACGATGACTGGAATGTGTAGTAGAGTTGTGTAGGGGTTCAATTTTCAACTGTTTGCTTACCAACTGCGACTTGCATTTGATCACTTGTTTTTTACAGTCATTTATGCATCTAGTTCAGGGAATCAGAATGTGAGATAGAGCATATAGGTAGCCATGTGAGATTTGAGCCTGCTCGTTTCTTTCTTGTGCGATAGATCCCTCTTCCATGAAATGTAGCATTCACGTTGTCACTAGCTAAGATGATGGAGGCATAGGATTAGCCCACGACCAAACTGACTGTCCTGATGTGTCATATCCCCTAGTCAGCCCCTTTGAGCCGTGTGTTATCCTTTCTTTCGGTCTGAAATGAAAAATCACCCTTTGCATCTTTTAGAAGGTTCCACAAAGTGGTTTTTGCATGCTTTCTGCTGTTCTGCTAAATGTAATATGAGGGTTGGAGGTAGTGCTTAAAAGTTGGGCGTGTGTTTGAAAAATGTGCAGAGGTGGTGGTTCTCTGAAGGAATGAATAAAGGAAAAAAAATAAAGGAAAACAAAGAAAAAAATGAAAGCAAAAGAGAGCCACCACCAAAATTCTGAATAGTGCCCATTAAGTAGTGTTTTCGAGCAGTCTGGCTTGGAAATGCTAACATTCATTTAACCTCCCTCGCTCTTGTGCCTTGAAGAATTTGATTAATGCAGAATAGCAGAACGAAAGTTACTAGTTTGCTTGATTGTGGTTTTGTTGGGTCTGGAGTGTGGAACCTTGTGCTATAACTGCCACCACCTAAAAGGCCTTTTCCCCATGTCCAAGACCCTAGCCAGTCATTTGAACCTGTGTCTAAGACCTCCGGATTAGTTAGTGGTGACACCCCCTTATGTGAACTCTAGCATTTAGAGGCTGCATTCATGGTGAAGAGACGTTAGGGATTGAGAGAATAAGCATGCGCATTTTTTGCATCATTTTGTCCTGACCCCACTGGTCGAGAGTGAGCGATTCATTTTCTCATTTTCTCTATGCTCTTTACCCCGGTGAGGACCTAGATTGCTCGGTCTTAATTCTGATATCTTGAGCTTTATGCATGAAGTGACTGTTTTAAACAAGTGGTTGAGTCAAGTCTATGTTGGTTAGTGAACAGAAGGGAACTCTTCCTTTGCTCAACTTTATTGCATTCGAATGTCAGCTGTGGTGGTTGTCTAGGTCGTCGTTCGAGTTGCCATGTGTTGATGATCGAAGCCAGTATGATCCACGTGTTTTGTGCCGATATGATTTGCCCTTAAGCCTGCTTGATTGAAATGTCTCGAGCTTACCTGGTGTCTGACTTGGTTTGCTTAGGGACAAGCAAACGGTTAAGTGTGGGGGAGTTTGATAACGATGTAATTGCATGCTTTTACACCCCTATTTCTTATCCATTTGCGGAGCATGGTTGTGTGTTTTGGCCTATTTTACGCCGGGTTGTGCTACTTTGTCCTATTTCAGGTCCCATGCGTCAAAAGGAAGGCCAAGCGCGAGTTTCGGATCGTTTGGAAGTCGTTTGGACAAGCCAGGACCAAAACACGGGCAGGAGGCCCTCAGAACACGGCCGTGTTCCTGACCGTGCTTTTATGGCCGAGACTACCCAAGGGTGGCTTGAACCACCTAAAAAACACGGGCAGGCCAGAGAGAGAACACGGCCTTGTTTTGAAAAGAACACGCCCGTGTTTTCATGATGCCCGTGGCCGTGTTTTTAGCCAAATCCAAAACACGGGCGGGCTGAGGCAAAGCACGGCCGTGCCCTCGACCGTGCTTCGGCCAGTGATGCCCTTTTAGGCAGATTTCAGCCAAATTGAGAGGGGATTCGAGTTTGAGAGAGACAGAGCGATTCCTAGAGAGAGAAAGCGACGAACAAGAGTCTCCAAGTGCCCTACCTTGATCTTCATCACCATTGGAGCTTGGCTTGAGCTTGGAGAAGTGCCGATTCAACGTCCAGGAGCTGAAAACCATCTTCACAGTATGATTTCCGCGTCTGATTCTGCTTTTGCTTCTTTCTCCATGAAGTAGTTCTCCCATTCATCTGGGTATGGCAAACCCTAGTTCTGTATGTTGGGATTGATTGTATGAACCCAAGTACTATTTCTATGGTTTGATTATATTCGATTGAGGTTTGAATGATTAAATGGCATGAATCCTGATCAAACTCCTGTTGTTTCTGCTTTAACCTAGAATGATAATATATGCCTAGGTTGTTAGAGTATCCTTAATCGAAGGTAGTGAATTGGTGACTTTAGTCGAGGAGCCAATTCACTATTCTGTACCGAATTCAATTCGGTAGTGGAGGTTTTGTTCTTAGGGCCTCAATCTGTTTACTCCGGTGGAGGTTAGTCGCCCGCTAGAGACTCAGATTGAGAGGGTCTGAAGACCTTTAGTCGAGACTTCAGACTGTTTGAGAACCTTCCGCAGTATAACTTTCATAGAAATTGAACTTGGTAATTACAATCCGGCCTAACTGCAGTCTAGGAGGAACCATATCCGGGTGACCTCTCTTAACCTGAAAACAACCGTTTAGTTGCTTTGCTTTCTTGTTAGTTTGGACCTTCACTAAAGTTTCATTGCTAGATAATACGAATTCACTGAGTAGTCATCACATCTAGGACCCGGGTTGACATTAAAACCCAAACCCGCTATACTACGCTTTAGGAAGTGGTTACACTTGGCCATTTTCTAGAGTGACAGTAGGAGTGAGTCAGTAAACCGAATGATTCCAGACCTTCTTCGTTGCTACAAACTAACTTCCCGCGGCGTAGCCGCGGGTATTGGTTCTAGTCTCTACTAAAAGCTGAGATTTACAATTCTTTAAAAGATAAAAGCCCGGTACGCTTTATTACCCCAATTTTTTACTACTGTTTCACTTTTTGGCGCTTAGTGAAAAGGGGTCTTAGTTCTTCATCAAAGCAGCTACTCTGCCTACTCAGTACTCACGACTGGCTGGTTGCCGCTGCTGCCGCTTCGCCTACGTCGAATCAACGCCCAGCTCCGCCTGCACCCGGTCGAATCAGCATATCCATGCTCTCTGTATGCATGCCCCCTGCAGCGGGCCTCTTTCCCTGAAATGCTACTGTACCAGCAGGTCACTTTTTCTCCTTTCTTCCTTTCGCCATGCCTCTTTCCCGGAAACACTGTTGTACCACAGTACCATTTTTTTTTGTGGAGAAAACCACAGTACCATTCACCAGCCCACCAGCCCACTCTGATCCTGCTCAACACGCCACCGCCCATTCATTGCACCCCCTCTCCATGCTCCCTTTGATTAATTGAAGAGCGACCTACTCCGCCCACTTCCCTCCAATTCATCTCTTCGCTTGCTTTTTTCTCTGTTCCCACTTCGCCCTGTCGCTTCTTGGCCTGATCCTCTTCCGACTTCACATCTTTTGCCTAACTCGCTCCTATGAATCACGTCGTCCTCTCCAAGCTCACATGGAAGGACAAAGCTCCTGTCCTCAAATTGCCCCTCCTCCATACATGGATGGCTGCCAGCCCCTCCCGGCCCCATGGATTCTCCGAATACGCGACGATTTTGACAGATTAATTGGTGAGTTCTGTCAATCCTTGCTTGCTTCTACTCTATGAGTTTGCTTCTCCTTTCTTATTGGTTATTGCGATCGAATCAGAGCCTAGCTAGAGCTTTGAGTCTGTGTTCTCGGAGTTCGATTCGCTCCAGAATTCCCAGTACCCTTCACTAAATATCAATCTCGGTATTCCACACAGTTCAAAGCTTGCTTCCTGCGATTTGGATTAGTTTTGGTGGTTAGCTTTGAGGGGTTTTGGGTGTTTTTTCCCCAGGGGATATTCGATTCTAAACCAACCATGTCATGTTTCTCTTCTTTCATATTCATGCAGGTTATTGTAGCCACCAAACAATGGAGGAAATGGCTTTGTTGGCTTACAATCGGGGTCTTAAGCTCTCTTCAATACCATATCAGAAAGGTTGTTTACATATCTGGAGTAGGGAGGTAGTTTATTTATGTGAACGCAGTAGTTCCTTTCAAATTTAGTTTAAATTTTGCCATATATATGTTCTTTCGGCAAATTTGCTAGCTGCAGATAGGTTTTGTTTATTCTGTGCTCTGCTTAATTCAGTTGAAGTTTTCACGTAGGTTTTCTTATAAGTTACAACTTTTAGTTGGTTTAGTGTAGGTGGTGGTCAATGATGTTGAAATAGTTGCCGGAAGGATGTTGTGGCAGGCGATGATGTGTCAGGTAACTATTTAATTGTTAGCACAAAAGAATTGCTACCAAGGGTTCAAACATGGTGCTTGCTTTCACATTCATGTTCAGCATCACCGTCGACAGCTCCCCAAGCTTCCTCTTGTTGGTGAGGAGATCCTTTATGAACTTGGCATACTTGGGCATCTTCGATAATGCCTCCACGAAGGGCATGCTAATATTCACCTGCTTCAGCATTGCCATGAATTTGGCAAACTCAGTCTCCAGTCGGTCCTTGTGCAACCGAGTAGAAAGGGAAGCTGTGGTACATACTCCTTCACCACTGGTTGCGGTTTAGGAGCAGGCACCTCAACCTCCTTCTCCATTTCTTCCTGATTAGCTGGAAGTGCTGAAGCAGGGGTCTCTCTCTCCTCTGCCCGAACAGGTGGATCGGCAGTCACCTTGCCACTCCTGGTCGTGATGGCACTCACGCTTTCATCCTGGTTCTGCGGGTGAGGGATGGTCTGACCAGGCAAGGTACCTGGAGTCCTCCGAGCAACAGCCTGGGCAACACCACCAAGCTGGGTCTGTATATCTCGCAGCACAGCCTGTGTGTTTCTCTGACCAGCTTCTAGCTCCAAGAACTTGCCAGAAGCTTTCTCCATGAACTGCTCAATGTTAGTGAACTTACTTGCACTGGAGGTGGCCAGAGAACCCACCAGATCTCTCAGTTCCGCCATCGGGTCAATCTGTACTGGGGCGGCCCCTGCCTGTGGAAATGGTCGTGCCTGCGACTGAGGTGGAACTGGCCCCTGTCTGGGCTGGTAGAGTGGCTGCTGTTGCTGCTGAAATTGCCCCTGTCTGGGCTGGTATGGAGGCCTCTGGAAACCGGGAGGTCCCTGGGGAGCTGGTGGTCTGGGATTTGGCCCAGCCCAAGAAAAGTTAGGATGCTGGCGCCACCCCTCATTATAGGTGTTGCTGTAGGGGTCAAAGCGCCTGGCATTCCCGATGAAATCCACCTGCTCCTGGGGAGTGGACGACTCCCTCATCGCCTGACAGTCCTCCACGGTGTGATGAGAGCTCTCACACCACTGGCAGTGCATCGCCTGCGGCTGTCCTGTACCTGCAATCAAACCAGAACGATCGATAGCTGAAACCAGCTTCGATACCACCTACACCAAATCAGATGACTAGGTGCCCACAACATGCACACCCCGTTCGGGTGCTCGACGCGATCTCCTGGCAGTGCCCCAGTCATAACCGTTCTCCTCCATCTCCTCAAATAGTTGATTCAGCTGTGGCAAGGTTTTGGTCAGCATGTTCCCGCCACAAACCGAATCGATCAGCTGCTTGTCCTCCGGGAAGAGGGCGTGATAGAAGGTGACCCCCTTGAACGCATCATTGAAACCATGGTTGGGACACCTGAGAAAGAGGTTGGTGTACCTCTCCCAAGCATCCCTAATGGTCTCATCGTCATCCTGAGAAAAGTGTGTAATCTGCTTCTGGAGATCAGCTGTCTTGGATGGAGGATGGTAGCGGGTGAGGAACTTGTCCGCCAGGTTGGCGAACGTGGTGATGGAGCCCGGAGGTCGAGTGTCTAGCCACTCCTTGGCCTGCCCCTCCAGAGTGAATGGGAAGTACCTCAGCTGGATGGCATCTGCTGGTACCCCATTGATCTTGATTCCATCGATGAGCTCGTGGAATCGCCTGAGATGTGATCGAGGGCACTCTCCCTCCTTACCACGGAACACTACTGAACCGCGCAGCATGGTGATCACGGAGGTGCTCACCTCAAAGTTGTTGGCTGGGACCTGAGGGTGTTGAATGGGTGACCTCATGTCCGCAGCCCTAGCGGTCCAGTAGGATCCCATGGTCTGCTCCCCGGGGATCACATCGTTGTTCTGCGGATCACCCATCTCTCCTCCTTCTTCTTCTTCTCCTAACTGCAGCTGCGTTAGTGCCTCCTCCGCAGCCAGTCGCGCCTTTAGAGCCCGCTTGAAGTTCCTGCAAGTTCGTTCAAGCTCCTGGTCTAATGGTAGTAGATCTCCCGACTGGCTACGGGTCATGCACTACCTGCACACAATCAGCAGAAGCAACCCGTGAAGGCACACAGGTGGAAGAGATAAAATGCAGTAAATAAAAGCTAGAGTAACAAATTCTCACGTTTCCCCAATAATCTAGAGGGATCCCCGGCAACGGCGCCAAAAACTTGACACGCCAAAACACAACACCAAACTGTGACCAAGTGCAATCGCAGTCCGGGAATGCAGTAACAGGCAAGTTCAATTATCAACCCGGGGTCTAGATCTACTGCTTACTCCGTGATTCTCTATTATCTAGCAAACTAGTTCGAGTGATTGTTGTGAAAAGTAAAAGCAACAAGAAAGCAGTAAATTGTTCGGTTTCTAAAGCAGGCAAGAGTCACTCGGGATTGAGTCTCCCTAGCCCCTTAGTTAGGTTCAATTGCAATTCCCTGGGTTGATTTACTGTTGATTAGACTGCGGAAGATCCGACAGTAGCTTGGAATCTCTTAAGCTGACCAAGCCCTCTCAGTCTAACTACCCGGCAGACGACTAGTCTTCACCGGGATAGAAAGCTGAGGCTATGAACACAGAACTCCACTACTGGCGCCAAGAACACCAGTACAAAGCAGTAAACTGGCTAACTCTCGTATAGCCAATCTCCTACTATCGAATGAAGAGGCTCTAACAACCTAATCAGATTCTATCTATCTCAGGTTGAAGCAGAAATTGAGAAAAGCTGATCAGACTCAAATCAATTCATTAAACATGCGTCATTCGATTAAAATCAAACAGTAATATCATCCCAAGTAATTACAATCAAATCCCTAACACAAGGAACTAGGGTTCTTCATACCCAAGTGAGAGAAGGGTTCTACTCCATAGAGAGAGAAGCGAAAACAAGAATCGGATTAGTCATACTCATAACGATGAGGATAATCTGCTCCGGGACGATGATTTTCACTCCTATGACGATCTCCAAGCTCGATTCGGTGAAATCCAGCTCTAAGACAGCTTCTAGGGTGTGTTCTTTGCACTTTCTCTCTCTAGGGCTCTGTTTTTGCTCTGAAAACACGATTCTCCCACTTCTGGCTCGGAATAGGCTCTAAAACCAGCCTTTCCCGACTCGCACGGCCAGGGTGCACGGCCGTGCAGACCACCATTCTGGCCGTGCACTCCAAAACGCAGCCGTATCATTAAGTCGGCCTCAGGCTTCTCGCACGGCCAGGTGCACGACCATGCAGGGATCCCGGCCAGCCCGTGCTCGGCCTCGGCCAAAACCGCACGGCCAGAGTTGCACCTTGCACGGTCGTGCGTCTCCCTGGTCTGCCCGTGCAGCTCCCAAAAAGCTCGCCATTCGTCCGTTCTTCGTCCAATCGACCCCAGACTCGCTCCTAAGCCTTCATTCACGTACTAGGACCTGAAATATCACAAACAAGCACAACCTAGCGTGAAATCGGCCTAAAACACGAGAATCAACACCTCAAACGGTGTAAGAACGGGGGTAAAAACATGTGTAAATAATGGTCTATCAACATCCTTATTAAGAAAACGTACTGGAGACGTGTGATGATCAGAGCCTCGAGTTAATCCTTCATCGAATCAAGGTCCATTTGGACCACGTGTCCAGTGTTGAGAAGCTCAGTCACAACTGGAGGTGAGATAGAATGCATACTACTGCCCTCCCCCCACCTTTTTAATGTGAGTTGTTCTTCTTTCTCCATTACAATTATTCCATCACTTTGATCTTTCATTTCCAGAGAGGCGCATAAGATTATCAACATCGATCTCCCCATAAGGCCATAACAACTTGCTGAGGGAATCTGGAGAAGGTAAAAAATAACAATAAGTTTATTCGCATCCCACCACCAACACTGCTTAAATAAGACCGGAAAACTGGAAGGCGCAACACGCCTGTACAGTACATCAACTAACATGGGGAGTGATTGAGTTTTCTCGATTTCACATATATCATCATCGCCATGTATATAGCATCATTATGTTGGTGATTTTCTTCTGTATAGAAGACATTTGTAAATAAGTGAGATGACAGTTTTAGCAGGGGCTCAACACAATAAAAATCAAGGATGCCTTTCCATTGAAAATAATATCTACAGTGTATATTCATGAGCTCCTGAATGTTGATGAATGATTGAGATAGAGAGCTTGAGAAAAGGGAGAGAGATACAGGGACTTCTCATAAGGTTTATAGTGAGAGTGAGTCATCTCCTAATTCTGTTTACTAATAATGTAAAGAAGGGAGGAAGGAGGTAGTGAACGAATGGTTCACAACAAATGGAGTTCTTGTGGCCTGAGGGGAAGAGAAAGTTCATTCTATTTTATAATAGTTTGAGGTAGCATTTGTTCCAAGGTTGTGCTATTTTATCATCAATAGCAGTAGCGGTTCTGTAAACTTCAGAGGGGGTTCATGAACTTTAGCCTGTGCTAGGTACCAGTCCATCCACTTTCTTCTGCTTTGTAAACTTCACGTTCTCTGTTTGTTGGTGCGCCATATGTCACTTGATTTTCATTGGTGCTTCTCTAAATAGTTTGTTAATTGATTAGTTTCAATTCGTGTTTTGTGTGGTACATGTGCTTCATTCATCGTGATATTAAGCCGACCAACATGCTCTTTGATTTGAAGCTGGAGGCTAAGGTACTTTATGCAAGCAGGGTGATGGGACTTTTCAGGTAATGTTCTGATGGAGTTTTTCATTTTTTTGAAGATTAACAACTCTTTTGGGATGAATTTGCTCATGCATTTCCTTCGTCCTTATATAGATACTTGGCTCCTAATTATGCTTCAGGTGGAAAGCTCTCTGAAAAATCTGAGTTATTCTCCTTTGGAGTAATGCTTCTAAATCCGATTACTGGACCTTGCCATGTTGGCGCGACTCACACGGTTACATGGGCAACAATTTGGTGTACTGGGTAAGTTTGTTTGCTTGACTGTCAATTTTCATATGCGGAGCAGGCTTCCAGTTACTTTGGAAAAGATAATCAACTTCAGTTGTATTGCTTTTGTAGGCTCGCCATTACTTTCATGATCACTGGAGGATGGAAACTACGCCTCCTTTGTTCTTAGACTTCATTGTTGTGATGCTTTTTTTTTTTGTTGACGGTGTGCTTATGTAACTGCTTCTCTTTGCCTCTGGCCGTGTTGAGAGGCTTTACCTTCAGGTGTGTTATTAGAAAGTAATCCCTTTCATTTCCCTTTCTCTTTATACACGAAGTTCAAATTGAATTTTATGGTGATCTTGTTGAAAGATAATTTGTCTATGTTGTTTTCTTTAGTGAATGCAAATTTGTAACCGTTTACTTCTTTTGCCATTTGATTTTGGGATTCTAATCTTAGGAATAAGTGGGTTTGTTCCAAGTGAGTATAAAATCACGCTTAAATTGGTGCACGCCAAATTCAAAACCTAGGTCAAAGAAAAGAAGTGCTTGATTTTATTATTGGGGCCCTCCTATTGATTGTGAAGTATATTAGTAAGTTGTACAGAGCTTGCTGCCCATCCTGTATGTATATGTTTGGTACAAACTTCTAATGAAAACAGCTCACAAATTGATGGCTGCTGAACAGAATTGCATCAATGCAGGAGCGAACAACATTTCCACCACCTTATGTAAGAAACTATTTACATCGCAAGTTTACTTCCTGTGGCGTAGTCACGGGTACTGGTTCTAGTCATTCATAATGAATGATTCTGGTTAGGGATGGCAACAAAACCCGAACCCACGGGTACCCACCCACCCGACCCAACCCGGTCAATGCGGTTAAAATCCGTGTTGACGGGTTTTGGGTCGGGTTTGGGTTTAAACCCGTTCACTATTCACCAGGTTGGGTTGGGTTTGGGTTTAGGTAAACCCGGCCCGTGGGTACCCGCTCATCCATATAATTACTTTTTTCGGTATATTTAATATTCTAAACAACTAATCTTATTTATGTTTATGGAGACATGTCTAATTTTTTCTTTTTAATTGTGTAGAATGAAGTTGATATTATGGAGTGGAGAGTAAAGAAACTTAATTGAAAGGAAGAAGCTTTCAATTAAACATGTTATTTATGGATAATTTGTGATTTGCTTCAATTTTCTTGAGTTTTCTAGATTGGTGTTGAACAATTTGTATAGTTAATTTGTGATTTGCTTGAATTTTCTAGAATGGTGTTTTATATATGGATAAGTTGTATTGAGAAATTGATATTTGACTTTAATTTTGATAAGAACTTGTAATTGTAAATTTTTTACGACAAAACCCGTGGGTACCCATGAACCCGCGGATACCCAACGGGTTGGGTTGGGTTTGAGTTTTTCAAACCCAGTGGGTTTTACCCCGGGTTTTTTTCAAAGATAAACCCATGGGTTTGGGTTTGGGTTTGGCAAAACCCGACCCAACCCGACCCATTGCCATCCCTAATTCTGGTGGTCCCATCTGCTGTTCAAATGCAAGTATTCTGTTTCATTTTAAGACAAAAAAACGACGAATTCTTCTGATTACATGTATTGGCCAAATACATCATCCGAAATTCCAACTTCCAAACAACCCCTAAATCGTTAAACAAACAAGGAATTTAGCCTCGATATCTGATTTTTTAAATGCCCAAATTCCTCGCCATCCAAATCCGCCATCCAAACTAGCCGCACGAATCCAGCAGCGGAGGTGCACAATGAGCAGCTCTTCCCCGCCGAAATCCCCTCGTGGTGTTGGCGGTAACAGTCACAGCAACCCGCGATTCTTCGACGCAAAGGCTAAGAGCCACTGCTGGGGAAATGCGGAAACTGTCCCTGGCCGACACCCGGAGAGGTGGCGCAAAGACGCCGCCGGAAATATCGTATGCAGGCGGTTCTGCAACTGCCAGGGCTGCCTCTGCTTCGAGTACGATCACATCGTTCCCTTCTCCAAAGGTCCTTACCTCTTCCTTCCTCTCTCTCGATAGCAATTCCTTTTATTTTACAAGCCACGATCCTTGGTTTGCTTGTAGTGACTCGCTCCTCTTGGAATTACTACAACTAATTGCGTTAGCTAATAGATTTTTGCTTTGCTCGAATTCCAGTGGACCTGGCCCTGAAATTGTTGTTTGTGAACATGGGTTGTGGTGTAGGTGGTGAATCTGTACCGGACAACTGCCAGATACTTCAAACTCGTGTGAATCGATACAAATCTGACAAACAAGAGATTGACAAAACTCTCCTCAGAGGCTACTCTTGCGATATTAAGTTCACTGGTAAGCTTTCTTGTTCAAATCTTCGTCCACAAATTCTCTCTGAAAATGGGTTTTGGTTTCTGATTCAACCCAGGATATCTGTTGAACTGCTAAAGATTTTTCTTTGGGATTCTTCTGGTTCCCTTTCATGTACATTCTGTCCTCCTGATATTCTCGGTGAACCTGTTGTTTCTGAGAAGCTATTAACATGACATAAGCCTTCTGCTGGAGATAATTCTAGTTGGAAAGCAGTAATGATGATTGAGAGGAAACTATACTGTCTATATTCACCCCGGAAACCAAATCACATTTGTGCCTAGGACCTGGTTGTCTCTTGTTGGAACCGCATGACTCGTTCTGTTTTTATTTGCCAAATGAGTCATAGATATGCGTCAATCAAACGATGCCTAAGAGAGAGTCTTTTACACATCGTTTTGTGTCAGCCATTCTGTCTTCCTCTGTATCGAGCTCTGTGGCATGAATGCTTCCTACCTGTCTTTCATACCGAAATTCGATCTGAACTCCTGTATTTGAATCCAAGTATTACTACAGAAAAGGGATTTTTGATACTTGAGCCCAGTTTCTATCCTTGATTTTGTAGCCTTGAATATGTGGCTGGGGCATATAGCATCACAATGTTGTTAGTTCACAGTGGCCTCTAGCTGTGACATATATGCTGTCATATAACTGCAGACAATGGCCTGTTTGAATGTCTCTCCTATAGCTGACATCTGTGGATAGTTATATGTAGTTTACAGTTGAGGATGCTATGTTTTCAGTTGCACCACACTATGAAGCAGTTGACAGGAAACCTTATTTTAAGGAGGCCATTATCTGCAGTTCCAGAATTGGATATCCAGCCTAAATACCTGTCCGCTTTACTTTGTATTAAGCCAAACAGTCTCATTCACTGCATTAAAAGTTCCATTAAAGCTACTTTCTCCAGCTTTCTAGGATTGATGTTTTCTGCTGCACAAAGTTATTGTAACCACTGGCCCCAACTTTTGCTTGCATCACTGCATTCGGTTCTGCAATATGCCTTGGTCACATACTGTAAGTTTTTATTTCCACACTAATTATGCCTCTGCAAATTTTGTAGACAAGGAGCTTGACATTATTGAAATGGCTGTTTATGGAGATGTCATCCGGCCTGGAAACCAGTGTCGGTGCAGATCTGTCGCCGAAATGCTTGGCCAGTTTAAATCAAAGGATCAAACACCTGCTTGCAAATTGCCAGACGAATAAGAACCTTTTGCTGCGTGATGGATACTTCAAGTTTCACAGCATACCCATACGAAGTAACTTAAATTTGATGCCTGCTACATAGGGAAAACAGATACTCTCATATTAGATCAACACAACACAAGGATCTTTGGGTATCTGCTTTATTCCCAGAATGTTTTAACCTCATTGATTGAATTGGACCTGTAGTCATGCCATGTTTTATTTATGTTAACCTCACCATCCGGTCTCTTTACTTTCAATTGAGTAACGCATGAGGTCCCAGTAGATGTTCGTCGCATGGTAAAGGAAACCGTACCGGACATCATATCGGATTCCTTTCTGGTAGGGTATTTTGTGGTACGACCGTGGTTCAACCATTTCTTACCGGTAAATACCGTTTTTGTAATAATAAAATATATTTTTTGTCAAAAAACCGTGCTGACAAAATTAGAGTACCGTCTCGGAGTAGTACCGGATGTATCAAAATATACCGGACAATAAATACAACTAAATTAATAAAACAAAAGAAAATTTAAACAATATTTACTTTTTATATAAAAAAATCCCATCATTTATTAACTTGGTTATCCTCCCCGTGCAGGCGTGCACCTTTTCCCTTCCCCCATCTTCCATTCTGCCTCTCTCTCTCTCACCCACCGTGCTCAAAGCCAAATCTCAACGCAAACCTTTTCCCTTCCCCCATCTTCCCTTCTGCCTCTCTCTCTCTCTCTCTCTCTCTCTCTCTCTCTCTCTCTCTCTCTCTCTCTCTCTCACCCACCGCGCTCAAAGTCAAATCTCAACGCATACCTTTTCCCTTCCCCCATCAAACTTCATCGCAAACCCAATCTCATCGCCACCCCCCGCGCTCAAAGCCTAATCGGAAACTCTCGTCTCTTCGCTGGTTGCCTCGCTGATCTCTCCAATCGTAGCCTTGCGGGTCGCTAGTCGCCACTCTGCACTCGCCAGAGGAGAAGAGAAGAGGAGCGGCAGAGCGTTGCATGGATCGGCTAGATCTTTCGCCGGTCGCCTCGTTGATCTCTTCGATCGCGGGTCATCAGTTGCCACTAGCCACAGGAGAAGAGAAGAGGAGCGGTGTGGCTGGGCTGGGCTGGGCGAGGCTGGAGAAGAGAACAGGAGCGCCTGGGGTTGGGAGAGGTTCAGAAAACCTCGACTGCCATTCACTCATTTGATTAGAGATTAGGGTTTTGTTTTTGGGCGTTTGTTGATTGGACGCAGGTTATCTCTTTTTTTTTTTTTTGTTATGTAAAACACCAACGTTTTTCACTGTTTATAGGCTACCGCCGGTTAGAACAAAATCGGGCGGTTTCTCGCTTTGTGTCGGTTAACCCGGAAAAACCGACCGACACGGTAAAAAGGCTCATAACAGACTACCGTTTCGTTTTTTGTCCAATTCCCGGTTGAACCGGTTGAACCGGCCGGTACGATCCGGTTTCCTGGTCCATGGTTTGTCGGTGACGAGCAGTTTTTGGAGATAGAACTTAGAAGACAGGTGGAGGTCTTTTCTTGGAGTTGAAGGGTATCATTCATGCAGCTACTCCTTGAAATGGAATCAGACGACTAAAGGATGTATATGATAAGGGGCCAGGAGAAAACCTCTCTTATTTCATATGATGGAAAGGATTGCAGAGTGTGAGAGGAAGCTGAGTAGTTGGAGCAAAGAAACTTTTGGAAGCCTCCGGTATAGAAGATTGAAAGTCGAGGGAGCACTAGAAAAACTGGATAATAGGAAGACGGATGCAGCTATGGTTTTACAACATTGATTCCTCACAAAAAAGTTAATTGAGGTCATGATGCAAGAAGAGATGAAATGGAAGCAAAGATCAAGAGCAGACTGGTTGAAGGGAGGGGATAAGAATACAAGTTTCTTTCATCGTAAGGCTTCAGATAGAAGAATTAGAAACACGATAAGGAAGTTGATTGATAAAAATGGGGTGACTAGGAAAGGACAACAAGAGGTATCAGCCTGTGTGGTAGACTGTTATAAGGAACTGTTTACTTCTGGGAATCCCCTAGTGGCTAATGTAATTTTGGCTGCAGCCAAAATAAGGTCACTACTGAGATAAATGAACAGCTTTTGAAGTCTTTTACTGAGGATGAGATATGGCTTGCCTTAAAGCGTATGAGATCAAACAAAGCTCCTGGAGCGGATGGGATGTCAGCTCTCTATTTTCAGAAAAATTGTGACGTGGTGGGGAAGGATGTCACAGTCATACTTTGATAAGGGGACTTTACCACAACATCTCAATCATACTTTAGTGGCTTTAATCCCAAAGAAGAAGAATCGAGAGAGTCTAGTGAACTTTAGATCGATAAGCCTATGCCAAGTGCTTTACAATATATTTTCAAAATCATTGGAAAATAGACTGAAGAAGTCCTTAATGAGTAATTGGAAAATGCCAAAGTGCGTTTATTCTAGGAAGGCAAATAACAGATAATATATTGATGGCCTTTGAATGCTTCCACTCCATGCAAGAACAAAAAAAGAGGCAGGAAAGAGTTTATGGCAGCCAAATTAGATATTGCCAAAGCATATGATAAAGTGTAATGGGGGGTTTTAGAGGCAATGATGGCAAAACTGGGTTTCGAGGATAGATGGATACAACTAATAATGACATGTGTGTCAACAGTCTCCTATTCATTGTTAGTTAACGGGCACATGAATGAAACTTTCTTTCCCACCCATGGATTGAGACAAGGGGACCCCTTATCCCCCTACTTATTCTTGATGGTCGCAGAGGGTTCATCAAATTTGATCTCAAAGAATGGCAATGCTGGGACTTTAGAAGGAACAAGGGTAAAGAGGGAAGCACCAATGATCTCTCATTTTCTTTTTGTAGATGATAGCATCATCTTTTCGAGAGCTACAAGACAGGGATGTGAAAGCTGAAGGAAATTTTGAGTCTCTATGAGAAGGATTTTGGCCAAAAATTCAACCTTACGAAATCAGAATTGAGTTTCAGTCCTAACATTACAAAGGAGAAGCGAGAAGAATTTGCAGGGATATTAAATATGAGGATGGTTGAATCTCATGCCAAGTATCTTGGGCTACCAAAACACATTGGAAGGGATAAGAAGGCGGTATTTAGCTACCTTGTTGATAGAGTTAGAAAGGTAAGTGAAACTATAGAAGAGGCGACTCCTATCGTATGGCGGGAAATAAGTACTGATTAAGTCAGTTGCACAAGCACAAACAACCTTTGCTATGTCTGTGTTCCTAGTTCCTCAAGGTGTGGTTCAAGAGATCCAAAGTATTATAACAAATTTTTGGTGGGGTCAACATAAAGAAGAGAAGCGAACGCATTAGCTTAATTGGAAAGTAATGTGCAAAACCAAGGAAGAAGGGGCTTAGAATTTCGAGAGGTTCATGGTTTTGATTTAGCCTTACAAGGGAAACAGGTCTGGAATCTTATGCAAAAACCTGATTAACTAGCTGCTAGAGTTCTAAAGGCAAAGTATTATCCTAGACGAGATATACTTGAGGTTGAGGAAGGCTATAATCCCTATTATATGTGGTGAAGTCTTATGGCAGCAAAAGAGTTGGTGAAGATGAGGTTCATGTGGCAGATAGGAGATGGAAGAAAGGTTGATGTGTGGCTACTAGACATATGGGTACCAGTAGCAGATAATTTGAAGGTTTCATCCCTAATAACCCCCATAAAAACCTAATTGATCATGAACATAGGAGCTGGAAGATGGAAGTGTTGCGAAATTGCTTCAATCAGTCTGATCGACACAACATCCTATAAATTCCAACACCTAGACAGCCAGCTCAAGACAAAAGGCTTTGGTTTCTGGAACGCAATGGGGTCTATTTAGTTAAAACAACATACTGGGAGTGGCAGAGAAAACAAAGGGAAGGACATGAAGAATTTTATGTCCCAATTGATTGGAAGAGCTTCTGACAGATTATAGTACCACCGAAGGTGAAAGTTTTTGGATGGAGGTGGATCAATAATTTTCTGCCTATGAATAAGAATGTGGTGGATAGAATCCAGAAAGGGAGTGCCCATTTTGTGGCTTAATCAAAACCTAGGAACATATATTTCGGGAGTGTGCATGGGTTCACATAGTATGGCGCCCAAGTGTTCTAAAAGACCTATTTCTAAAAGGTGAGGAGCTTGCTTGTGAAAACTGGATGTGTTTATTGTAGGAGACTGAATCTCAGGAGAAAATTGGTGAATTCTTGGTAGCGTTGTGATTCATCTAGGCGGAAAGAAACAATCACATGTATAATAGAAAAATAAGGAGGAATATGAAATAAAGGGTTGTGCGGAGCGATGGTTGCAGGATTACCTTGATCACAATCGGCGTGCGGAAGAACCTATGTATACAGGGCAGTCGAACTGGGAATCACCTACCGAAATCGGGTTGAAGATTAAGGTAGATGTTGCATTGTTGAAGGATCAGGGGACGGCGTTTGGTGTAGTGATTCGGGACTCGAATGAGATATTTTGGGACATAGTGAAGAGGAGCAAAATCGAGTGGCCGCCAACCCTCACAGGGACCCTTGCGATTTTGTATGGAGTGGAGTTGGGAAGGAGGATGGGGTTTGAGGAATGAGTGGTGGAATTAAATTGCATGTTCAACATTTCCCAACTGAGAAATGGAGAGCTAAAGGAAACAAAGGTAGGTGATGTGTGTCATGAAGTGCTAGAGAAAGCAAGGGAACTGGGTGGGGTCGAGTGGGCTCATGTGGGGTGGAATGGAAATAAAGCAGCACATCAAATGGACCATGTTTTATGCAATTGAGAGGAAGAGGAAGTGTGGGAGAGTAGGCCTCCGATTTTTCTCATAACCCAATTAAAGGAGGATGATTTGATGTTAGTTCCAAATTAATAAAATGCAGAGGATGTTATAAAAAAAGGTCAAAATCTCAAGAATCCAAAAAATCACAAAATAGCTAGTTTATATATGAATTCGTTGGTTCCAAAGATCCACACACATATTAGCATCAATTCATCTCACCTACCTAACACGAAGAAATCATTAAATCAAAGAAT